ATATATATATATATATATATATATATATATATATATATATATATATATATATATATATATATAATAACATAATAACAACAACAACTCAGAACCAGTACCATCAACAATAGCAGCAGCGGCAACTGAGCAAAAGGCACAGTAACAGCAACAACAACAACAGCAGCAAAAACAGCAACAGGCAGCACCAGTATTAGTGCCAGTACTAGCAGAATCAGTAGCAAAAGCAACAAACCAAAAACTCAACAAAAGCAACAGCAGCATCAGCAACAACAAACACAACATTAAAGGCACCAGACCCAGCAGCAACATCAAAAGCAACAGCTTAATAACAGCAAAAGCAATAGCAACTAAAGCTGCAACTGCAACACTAGCAGAACAATAGAAAAACCAGCAGCAGCACAGCCACAACAACATCAACAACAACATGTGCAACATCAACTGCTGCAGCTTAAACAAAATAAAATCAGATGCGTCTCACCCTTCATTTTCGTCGTAACCTTGTTGAATTCCGAAAAATATGGCTGCAATGACTGCAGCCCCGCCCCATGCAAATGTAAAATAGGCCGACCTTTTCGGTATACTACCGGTGATGCTGTACCTGTGGGCCCGCATAAAGAGGTATATGCTCTCGTAAATTAGCCAGAGAAGAGTAGCCATGTAGAAGAAATGAAGAAGTACGCCGAATATACTGCAAACGAGCTTTGAAGACACAAAATATCAATATGGAATATTATTTATACGGCAAACACATACAATCAGTCAGTCAACAGTTATTTAAATCAACCAATAAACCGAACAACAAAGTTATGAAGTCAATGAACGTTTTTTTTTCTTATTTTTTCTTTTTTTCCCTTTTTTTTCCTATTAGAAGCACTCGCCTGCATGACAGTGCTTTCATTTTATACAGGTTTAGAATCAATTACCATGTACCACACTGACCTAAATATAATAGAAACAGGAGAGGAACATTCACTAAAATAAATTTCTACTAAAAATAATAAAATAAATAGACAAGCTTAACAAACTTATGTTACTAAAAACTGAGATTTACAGGTACAACATAAAATGTTTCCCACTTACTGGGTAGTCAACAGTTTCAGAATTTACAACGAACGCTACCATGACGCACAGTGTTGCCAGTAGCAAATTTGAGTAAATGAACACAGTTTCAGGTCCTCTGAACAAGCCCCTTAAGTCATAACAAATGAAGAGAATTGTAATTTACTAATCATTAGTAAGCTTGTTTATATAAATGTAAAAGGCATTCGTATACATACTTCCATAGACCTTTCAGTGAAGCTTTACACCTAGGACATTGTGCTTAAGTCTCACAAAACAACAAGGTAAAAGCACGTAAACGGATTTTAAGAAGTGCGTGTGTTGTAGTCTTCTGATTGGCCGGTTGATATGTTTAATTGACACTTCTGAAAAGTTTAATAAAGCGACAAAGTTGGCCCTTTTTTGTTCAGTGTTTTTCTTGAAAATAATTTCATGCTGAATGTATTAACTGTTTTATTTTTTCAAATTGATATTTTTTTTAAATTTTTGTTTTGTTTTTGTTTTTGTTCTGTAGCTGAGGACCCCTTTAAGTCAGCACAGCTGTAGAGTCACCCTCGTTAAATAAAGTTGAATAAAAAAGTACAGCTAAAAGAAAGAGCTGAATAAAAGGACAATAACTGATATAAATGTTGTCTTTAGTGACCTTTCCTACAGGTTTTAAGAGGAGTTACTCAATACCAATTTTAATTTTACCATAATAAAAAAACTACAATATTCTCACCACGTTGAATTGATAAACTTCATAATGTATAATAATGCTATCATCGAGATAAGGCACACACTGTATATGCCTAATCTTTCACCGAGTCTGGCAAAGTCGAACTCATCGTTCTGAAAGATACGGTAATCGAGTCAATCCAACCTAACACTGAATTAAAAAATCATTAAACACACGACCACTTAATTTTTTTTTATCTCTGGTCATGTGATTAAGTTATAGAAGGAAAAATAATGTGAAAGCAAATGCAAACAACTTATGATTGAATTGGATTCAAAATAAATGTAGACTTGATAGATCTGCAAACTGGTGTATAGAACATGCACTCAAGGTTACTTATTTAAACATTGATAAGAATGACAGATTTGTCAAATGTATTAATGTTATTGACATATATACAAAAGGGATCTGATAATATTTATATACCTGTTCGGGTTTATCAACCGGGGTAAATATACCAAATGTTGTCGTGTGTTCACATTTACATTTAACATGGTTGCCACTACTTCCAGTTCGTTTACAGCCGGTGGTTGACCAAACCCTGAAACATATCAGATTCTACATGAACATTCCGAAACAAAAATCGAATGTGCATAGGTATATACGAATAGACGAAATAATTATTTATAATTATTATTAACCGTAATTATATCATAAGTTAAATAAATAATAAAACCAATAATAATAATAATAATAATAACAAAATAAAAAATAAAAAACAAAAACCACAAAACAACAATAGTAATAATAATAAATAATACAAATGTTAATGAATAGGCCTATTTAACAATAAAACATAAACGATAAAATATGATTAGTAATGTTAATGTTGAAAAAACATGTGTAAGTTCACTTCAAATCCATATAAATGTTAGGGAAAACATAAATACTATGACATTGACGTTATTTGGTTATAATAGTTATGTTGTTAAATTGCGTACCACGGCCAAATGCATTTTCTATAAACTATACCTTTTAATCTCTTCCCAAAATACACAACGTGCATTTTCTTTGAAATACGTTACGTCCGAATGTATAAGTGTCTGTAATAATAAATGAGTCAGTTATTTTATAGCGCATTCCACAAAAAGCATCAATGCTCTTTACAACAAAGAACCACAGGCAGTAAATAAATTCAACTTGAACTACTTAAAATAAAAACAGTTCGGAAATATATGAGCACTATCGGCATAGGTGTTCAGAACAGGGCTCCACCCTTTGATGACGAAACAACGTCGCTGTCACACCCAGGTGCACGCAGGCAGTAGGCTGGGCTCCTGTAGCTTCCACCTCAATAATAAGTCTTTGGCCCTACTGCAAACGACAACAATATTGTCTCGAGTAAGGAACGACAAAGCCAACGTGTCGCATCAACTTGTTCTGTACAACATAAGGAAGGGTTTAAATTAAAGGCCTATTTGAGTATATATAAATATATAATTATACATATTCAAATAGGCCTTTATTTATACACATCTAGATGTGTATAAGAGACAGTATATATATATATATATATAGCAACCATGTATCCACCGTGTCACATCAACTATACTGCATATCTTACCTGATCTAACTCCATTGAGAATTCCACGCCTACTGAGTATGTTGTACTATTACTTGATATACTGTATGACAAAAGACCACTTGCAAGTGTATAAGCAACGTCGATATCACCGTCACTGGAGTACAAACATCGTTATTATTATTATTGAAATTATTGTCATAGTTATGATCAGCGTTTTTATCATCCTTATTGCCATCATCATCATTTTTAGTATCATAATCAACACTAACAGCAACAATCAATACATCAACCAATCCGCTGGTCAATAATATTATTAAAATGTAATTTAAATTTCGATAATTATAAAACAATGTTCTACTCGGAGGCTATCCATATTTTTGTCATCATTATCATTCTCATGAAATGGTCACAATCAATATTACCATCCTCAGAATACCATTACCCATCATCATCTATGTCAATATTATAATGAGCATTATCACTATTATAATCAGCATTATCACTATTATAATCAGCATTATCACTATTATAATCAGCATTATCATATCATTACCATCATCACCACCATCATCATAATCATCATCATCGTTTTAATCGGCATTATCTACAACTCACCTGCTGTCAATGTCAAATGTTTCGCTTGTTGTTTCAGCAATCACTTTCCTATCGTAGTAAGTAGCAATAATTGTCGCCGATTCTGAAAAACAGATTGAATACTGTGTAGCATTTTGATAATAAATTACTGTATAATTCATTTAAACAATAATATAGACCAACTAAATAAACATAGGTCTGGTAGATGACAGAAATAAGCCAGATTATGGTGAATTAGGTCTGGTTATTAAACTTGTCGTATCTGTATAGAGAATTGTAAATATTTTTATGATTGTATGGGTGGATTTTACACCATGGTTTAACAAATGTGATGACCTGGTTATGACTGTATAATTACGACCTAATCGATGATTTGACAGTTAACTCTTTTATGTATTATTACTTGTTGATTAATCAGTATCTGACATACCTGTTATATCTTTGGCTGACTTTGGATCTAACTTGACAAAACACTTATCGCTGGATTCTTTTTCAGTAGAACTGTCTCTTGTTGAACTTAGGACGCCCTCCTCTTCTCTAAAATGGCATGACCATTTGAAAGCATCAATCGGTCCAATATTGGAAACTAAGAGTGAGTTATAAACGAAATTAAAGATCAGTAAAATCAAGGAATATAACAGCTATAAGTCCTTGGTAAACCTGCATATAACTCAGACAAATTTGTATCGTTTTTATAATTGAAACACATCGTTTGTATTTGTATGCATTCAACAATCACTAATGTGCTGTAGATTTACTTAGATTTTGTCCAATGAATTATCAAGCTGCGCTTACCAACTTTGCCCGACGGCCGGACGAAACTTGTGTTCATCTCTGTAATAACAACTTTTTGAATCAACTTCTCTGTAGCAATGATGATATCAACTTGTTTTTTGATTTCCTTGAAAAAAAACCCCCCAAAACTCATCACTAAATAACAGTATATTAATTAGTATATTGTTATCTTTACAGTGCCCGATGGCCAGACGAAACTGAAACATCGGACCTGTAGTATAGTATTTTGTGCTATTGCAAGGGTTACTCTACCAGTAATTAAAATGCATTCCACAGTAAATTTAATAGCGAGCGTAGCATTATGTTTTGTATAGACGCTAATGGCGTATCATAATTTCCAACTTATTACGTCACGTAGCACGTAGTAGCCATTTGGATTGCCTGTTTAAAGTTGATTTTGTAAAATCCTATATTTAGTTCGACGCAAAACCAAGAAAAATGTGGAACGCAAAATGTGGAACGCGAAGCTCATAGGCGAAGTGCGGGAAAAAAAGTGCACTGCCCGCGATAGGTACTGTATATTGTAACACAGTTGATAAACGTACCTTATTGTTATTTAGAACGGCGTTGGTCACAGCAACAACATCCTGTTTTGAGGTAAAATGATAAAACAGTTATTCATAATAAGAAAGTAATATTATATGCTACAAAATCGGGATTTAGGCCTCTTTTTCTCCAGTTTGTTAATATTCAAAAATGTGAATATTTAACTTATTCTGGTTATTTATTAAACATCCCTTATGTCATCCCCTTATGTCTTATTTACTCCAATGCCTGGTTTCAATTTAATTATTGAATTATTTTTGACAATATATTTAATAAAATTAGTTATAAAAAGCCGCTGATAACATTAATATGCTAGTCTTGTGTTGAAATCCTAAAAAGGCCTCAGACCATACATATTATTCTAAAGAATATGTGTTTTTCAAACATTTTTTTTTTCTCCGCAGAGAAAATTTTATGTGCTTTTCCACAATTTAAGATAATATTTCTAGTCAATGGGAGATCAAACTACTATACCTCAGTAATTTCCTCTACTTCTCGATCTGATACAACATCTTCGGATGCCATTACAGTAAGGACGGACGCTAACTGTTCAATTTCTTCTGTTGAGAGTGGTCTTGTATTTGCCAAATTCGAAGCAATTGCAGATATATGCAGAATGTCTCCTTCAGATGTTCCATTGATCTGAACAACGTTTTAAAACAAGTATGTTACCAAAATGAGGAATGTCAAAAAAACAAATTTTATTTACACAAAAATATAAAACAATATTACATAGGTCTTTCATAAAGTATTACTAAAATTTGTTGAAAGGAAAACTGAATTTGTGAAAATAGTGCAACAAAACAATCTTGATATCCATGAGAGTCAACCTGCTCCGAGCAGAGGCTCTGACGGTAACAAGAAATATACTAACAATACATTCCATATCAATTATCATTTATAATGAATAACGCATGAAGGTGAAACTGGGGTACGTTTATATTTTTATAACAAATTCTAAATATTTAGGTTCAACTAATACAATGTGTAGAGAAAAATTTCCACTTTTTATGTTAAATTTCTAACTTTGTAATCAAGAAATGGAATTATTCCTAATTTTCTTTCCATTTTAAATCTAAGGATATATAGTTAATTTATGTCTAATGATGTTGTTTCTTCAAACATATATTGTCTATAGATATATAAAATGTTTCACCCACATAATTTACGTGTTTTGATGGTGTACAAATACAGAATAATTCCTGAGGGAAATTGAAATGTTATTTTAAGAACGTGTAACATTGATACTCACCAATGATTCTAAATTAGCGAATGCCACGCGAATATTCACAGAAAATGTGAAACTTCTCTCGTTTCCAAGTTGGTCTACTGCAGTATAAACAACTCTAGTAACTCCAATACTAAAAATGTCCCCAGATGTGCGTGTTGATGAAATTGTTGGCTCGATCAAAGAATTATCAGCAGCCAGAGGTTCCTTCCATTCTACAGATGTGTTAGTTTTTGTAGCATCAATGAAAATCTCTATGTCACCAGTCATATTGATGAAGTACGGCGGTTCATTGTCTGAAAACCAAGAGGTCGAATACATTATTGTAACATATATATAAAATAACATGATCGCATGTATTATTTAGCGTTGATGAGGCTTTGTTAGATTGAAGGATATCTTTGTGAATTGAACCGTATAGAATGTTTGGGGTAAGTTTGCTTTCTATTATAGGAAGAATTGATTTGGTAAGGCTATAATGTCAAATCAATTGTTCTGGCTTTAAATGTCAAAATTAAATTTTTGAATTTACCAATACAAACAACGTTATTCCTTAACACTGGTATCATAACACTTCTTAGTACAAACTCAGCGCTTTGAGACCCAGTCTCATTCGCTATATAAATTGTTATTATTATTATTATTATTGTTATATGAGTATCATAATTATTATTATTATTATTATTATTATTATTATTATTATTATTACTATTATTATTATTATTATTTTATTATTATTATTACTATTATTATTATTATTATTATTAATATTATTATTATTATTTTATTATTATTATTATTAATATTATTAACACTTTGCTCTCATCGTATTTGTTGACGGTAAGCCAGCCACAATATTTGATTATATTTCATTATTTATCTTTATTCATTTATACAGTAAATTAGGTCTACTCACTACTCACACAACATAATAATGATACAATAATACAATAAAATGATATAATGATATAATGATACAATAATACAATATAATGATATAATAATGTGAATATATTATTGATGTTCACAAGGTAAGGACCCAGAAACTGGAAGAAAAAATCTGAACGACTAATTATTATTATTATTATTATTATTATTATTATTATTATTATTATTATTATTATTATTGTCTGTTTCAAAAGAAGAGGAAAATCATCAAATTCTTATCTTTTAGATACAACAAACAAACGTTCATTGTTTAAATTACCAGATTCAGATTCAGACATTCTTTACTGTTATCAAAATGTCATAAGAGTTGTTTTCCTTGTTACACACCGTAGCTAATCATACGTACTCACCGATTACATCTACTTCGAACTGACATATTCCAATATTCCCCGCATCATCTCTAGCTTTGTATGTAACTGTAGTTATATGCATCTGAAATATATCCCCAGAATTATAATCTGAGGTGATGACAGGCTCGATTTGAGAATTATCAGATGCATTGGGAGAATTCCAATTTACCACTGCAGTATTCACCCCGTTTTCAGTATTGATCGAAATATCCGGAGGGCAGAACGTAAAATATGGGTTTTCAGTATCTAAGAAATAAACACATGGACACACAAAATAAAAATCAAATTATGAGTAAAATACAAAAAAAAAGTATCTGTAACTGGAAGCGTCGTTTCCTGGTGGATTGTTGGCAAAAAAAATATTTAAGTAAATTATATAACCAATTACACAATGTTATAGAAACAAATGTTATTCCTGTTTATTCTGATCTTGAAAAAATGTTAATCTCATTGCAGAATGTCCAAATAGGGAGGTGGTAAAATTATACGCATTATTTATTGTGTTTCTATGACAGCAATAAAAATTGAAATATTACCAAGCACTACAACAGTGAATGAGCAGTTTTCCATATTAGAAGCAGCGTCAGTAGCGCTGTAAACAACATGTGACTGGCCAAGATAGAATACGTCTCCCGACTCATAATTCGTGGTAACATTTGATGTCAAGCCAGAATTGTCGGTTATTTCGACATCATCCCAGTATCCGTTGTTGAAGGAAGACCTGTGCAGCGTCTCGAGGAAAATGTCCGTGGGACAGTTGTGAAACACAGGAGCCTCAGAATCTAATATCGATAAAATTAATTTATGTGTATAATAGTAATGAAAAACTAATGTAAGCCTACCGTGCCCGAATATAAGGTAAGCCTACTGTGCCCGAATATAAGGTAAGCCTACTGTGCCCGAATATAAGGTAAGTCTACTGTTCCCGAATATAAGGTAAAGCTACTTTTTCTTTCTTATGGTCACCATGTTTATTTTATTATTCTATAGATATGAATTTCAGAAATGAAAGATGAAACGAAAACAATGAAATGAAATAATTGTTTTTACAAAATTTGAATGTAGTAGAAGGGACGATAATGAATGCTTGGTCTGTTCTTTTTTTAAATCGTTGTTTAGTTCTACAAGGTAAACAGAGACTCCAAAAGGCAAATGCAAACACAGAATATCATAATTGCGTAATCTTTTCTGACGCTTACCTTCGATTAAAACATTAAAGATACAAGTTACAGAGTTCCATGATGAGTCCACGGCAGTAATGTTTACAGTGTGGTAACCTATTGGGAAACCGTGGCCTGTCAGATGTGAGTGGTGCACGGTAATCGGGTCTCCAGAATTATCTGTGATTACAAGCTCGTCCCAGTTGACTGTTGCCGTGGACATTCTGTGATCCGTTGAAACAGTTCGATTGTTCGGACAGTTGAGAAACACCGGTGGTTCATTATCTAAAATTTAGGTTAAATAAACTATTTACAGCTACTTGTAGTTTTGGATGTAGGTCTATTGCTCATTTGTTTTTTGTCTAAATTTTTCATTAAAGTAAGTGACAAATGCAGTAAACATCACGATTCTGTGGGTCTCCTACAATATGTATGTGTTGTGAAGGAGGTCAGAAAATGGTCTGTCTCAGGGGACAACTTTCAGGAAAAAGGTGTATACTTTCTCAAACAAAGCCCGAATAAGAAACACAAGGCAAAATTGCCTTACGCCTCTACGGGTATCAATGGTTGAGAGCACATGGTTCGATTACCTCGAGTTAGCCAACTGGACTATACGCTGCTTTAATTAATATGATAATATTGATTTCAATTAATTTGTGTACCTATAACTGTAACGTTAAATTGACAGAAATCGATATTCCCAAACGTATCTTCAGCAGTGAATACTATCTGGTGAATTCCTATTCGAAGTTCTATCGAAGTTAAATCCGGGTCACTGATTGTTGGGATCAAACCACTATTGTCCGTGGAGTTCAACAGATCCCAAGTTACAATAGTCGTCGCCTCATTTGGATCTGAATTCGTCATCATGTCAGACGGACAATTGACAAACACTGGAGGAGTAATATCTGAATAGAAAAACAAAATATACTCTATATGGTACCGGTATGAACACTTGAATTTGACTTGTATATCAGGCTTATTCGTTGTGAATGAATACTAAAATCAATAATTGCTATAATATAAATATAACGAGTTTGGTGTCCTAATTATTATCAATAGATAGAATATAATATCGACTGTTTGTATAATCTTATTATACTAATCAATTAACGACTCTAGAATACTAAAATCAATAATTCATATGAAAATATAATGAGTTTGGTGTCCTATTTATTATCAGTATATAAAACATAATATCGACTGTGTGTATAATCTTGTTATTATACTAATCAATTAACTAATCTAGATTGTATACAATGTATTTAGCCTTTCTAAATAAAGTTCACAATATAAGATAATAATAATGTATTGATTTGGTGAACATCGAAAATGTCGGTCAATACTAGTGCTATATAGATATATTATTTACCTTACTTTATTAATAAGTACTGTTAATAACAAAGAAAGGAATGAATTGTGTCATAATTTTAATGATAGGTTGATTGATTGTTTAATATTCCAACCAACATTGTATTTGGACAAATATCATATTTTTAAAAAGATAATAATGGCTCTAATAAAAGTTTAACTGCTACTGAAAATACGCTGCTGTATCTAAGGAAAAACACTGAGCGTTAAAAAACACCAATTGCGTAATTTACATACCACTGATCGTGATTGTAAATGTGCATGTGTTTGCGTTCATCGCATCGTCTGTTGCATTGTAAATAACGCGCGTTTCTCCAAGAATGAAACTATCACCAGGCTGGAAGTTGGCGGTGACGGTTGGCGTACTTCCAGAATTGTCGGTAATATCTGGCGGTAACCATGTAACGATTGCAAAATTACTAGTATCCGGAGCTGATTCCTCAATATTATCAGAGCAATTTGAAATCTGAGGTGGTTCGTCATCTACAGAGACATAACACACTAATTTAAGAATATGAAATACGAAATTAGATATACAATATAATATCGTCACTTAGCTGATGACAACTTCCACAGTGGAATAGCAACTTCGCAGTATTATTAATTGTTTAATAATAATAATAATAATAATAATAATAATAATAATAATAATAATAATAATAATAATAGTAATAAAGGTAATAGTAAAAATGGTAATAATTGTAATAATAGTAATAAAAGTAACAATAGTAACAATAGTAATAATAGTAATAATAGTAATAATAATAATAATAATAATAGTAATAGTAACAATAGTAATAGTAGTAGGAAATATAGTAATAATTGTAGTAGTAATAATAATAGTAACAATAGTAATAATAGTAATAACAGTAATAATATTAATAATAATAATAATAATAATAATAATAATAATAATAATAATAATTAGTCGTTAAGAATGTTTTCTTCCAGTTTCTTGGTCCTATGCTTACATTGTGAACATCAACTAATATATTCACATTATTATATCATTATATCATTACATTATATTATATTATTATATTATTATTTTGTTGTGTAAGTAGTGAGTAGACTTAATTTGCTGTATAAATGAATAAAGATAGATAATGACATATAATAAAATATTGTGGCTGGCTTACCGTTAACAACTACAATGAAAGCACAAGTGTTGTTATTATAAGACGTATCAGTAGCTACATAAGTTACGGTCTCTGTCCCTATCCAAAACCGCTCTCCAGAAGCTCTTGTTTGGTAAATCGTTGGCGCTAGGCCGGAATTGTCCTCAGCAACTGGTTCAATCCAGTTTGCGGACGCAGACGGTAAGCCGACCTCAGTCGAAATATAAACATCAGGGGGACAAAATGTAAATAAAGGACGTTCATCGTCTACGAAGAAATAGAAAACAAATTGCATTTTTATACACGATAAAGTACCTATAATGAATAATTATTTTGTAATCCTCAATATTATCAATGTACTAATAATACATAAGCTTACAATATTAATCATTTTAATAATATATTTCAAATAATTTGGTTTTATTCTACAGCTTATTTAAATATAGGTCGGCTATAGTTCTTTATTAAATTGTTAACAATTTTACTCTAACGTGAAAGCGTAAGGCATATTTACATAAAACTAAATAAAATAATCCTCTCTTAATGAATCTTAATAATCGTTATATAATTTTTGAAGTTGCGCTACAAAAATATTTACAGTGATTATAAAGATAAATATAGTGATGAAGATTTTGATTATAATTATTATAATTTTTTTTTCATCTCAATCAAAGGTACGGTAAATTTTTAAATAAATTCTTAGTTACAGAATTAAGAAAAATTAAATTCAATAAGAGATTTAAGAAAATGTTTGTGTTGTTTCTCTCATTGCAATTGATACTATTATATAGTTCAAGTTCAAATGACATTTATTCAATAAATGATGGAAATAATAATAGAATACAATACAATACAAATAATAGATCACCATCATTGGGATCGTGACTAGAAGTAAAACAACTTGTCTCGTCATGACATTATATGATACATATAGATATTATATGATAATTATACCTAGGCTGTAAAGTCTATATACATATTTATAATATGGAATTAATACATATATGTGTAGCTAACACTTATTAGAGTATATTGTATTGTTTTACATTTTACCTATAACCGTGATACTAAACACGCATAGTCCAGTATTATCAGAGCCATCTGTTGCGCTGAATGCCAGGCGAGTGTTACCAATTCCAAACGAGCCCTCTGTACTGGTCTCATTAAATATGGGGGGATCCTGACTGTTATCCGTTGCCACCAACAAAGGCCATGAAACGACTGCAAAAGCCTCCCCAAGTGGTGCGTTTACAGTGATGCTAGTAGGACAGTTCGTAAACACCGGTGGTGTATTGTCTTTGAAATTAAATTACAAGTTTCATTTCAATACTATTACAACATTATAGGATTAATGTTCGTGTTATCGTATACAAAACATGTTACTTCATAAGATGAATATTATGCACAACCAAAGAGGAATGTTTTAGTTACAGCCCTATAGGATAAATCGTATACAAACATGTTGATACATGAGATAATTATAATATATTTATTTATAATATATATTTATTTAAAAACACGAATATTGATTGTGCAAAAAGTACAACATGTAATGTGTCTATTAAATAATTTTGCCGGTAATATAAATAATTACACTAAAACACTAATGCTTCATGAGTGAATATATACATTAGAATCTAAACCCTCTAATATGCAGACTTAATAACAGTGATATACCGTTAATCTCAACACTAAATGTGCACGTGGCACTGTTCTCGGCTGCGTCTGTAGCTGTCACCACTACGGTTGTCTGCCCAAGAGGAAACTGTTGGCCGCTTGTGTGACTGCTGGTTATTGAAAAATGGTCTGAGTTATCTTCGAATTCGGGATTCCACTCAGCTACTGCCCAAGGGTTGTTGGGTTCTAGTGAGTTCGTCACGATAACTGGACAATATATTATAGACGGTTGTTGATTGTCTAAGGGGAGAGAAATATTTAAATAATACATAAATTTTCTTTTTCTTATAAAATATTATTTTAATTTATACAGAAAAATAGCTATACAGTTACAGTACTTGAATAAAAGAAATTTTATTGAATAAAAAAAGTATGCAAATTCAGAATTATTAACACGCACAAGGGAGGGGACAATTTTTTTTTATATTTATATTTATTTATTCTTTATACTGGGTTACCTCTTCAGTAAAAAGTTACTGTTCTCCCAGAGGGCCCAGTACGCATAAAACATTAAAATCGAAAGAGAAACAACACAGAACATAAAAAAAAAAAACAAGAATGAAGTAAAAAAAAATTACCTACCCCCCGCATTCCAAATACGAGAACCCCTAAAAGTAAAACTTCTACCAGATTCAGTTCTGACTTTAGGCAAAATTAAATTTCCTGCAGAACTGGATCTGGTAGAATAGTTATGAACACTGTCAACTGAGGTGAAAGTGTTTTGAAGAAAAGGGACTCTGCCACTCAAGTATTTGTTAACAAGGATGACTAAATGGTTATTTCTCCTTTTCGTTAAGAAATGACCAACCAAGAGAAAAAATTACCTACCCCCCGCATTCCAAATACGAGAACCCCTAAAAGTAAAACTTCTACCAGATTCAGTTCTGATTTTGGCAAAATTAAATTTCCTGCAGAACTGGATCTGGTAGAATAGTTATGAACACTGTCAACTGAGGTGAAAGTGTTTTGAAGAAAAGGGACTCTGCCACTCAAGTATTTGTTAACAAGGATGACTAAATGGTTATTTCTCCTTTTCGTTAAGAAATGACCAACCAAGAGAAGTATGTAATTGAACTAAATTTGTACGGTGATCAGCCTTAAGTATAACGCGTGCTGCTCTATTCTGTAATTTCTGTAATTTGTCTAATAAACCCTTACCACAATTTCCCCAAACAGGATCACAATAATCGAATAAAGGTGATATGAGAGATTTATAGAGTAAATTAAGAGAGTGTTTATCAATATAACGACGTAATCTACCCAGAAGAGAAATTTTACCGCTCACCTTACAACAAAGTTTGTCAAAATGTACATTCCAAGAAAGTGATGGATCAAACCAGATGCCAAGCTATTTAAAACTGTCAACGGCTTGAATGGCAGCGTCCCTAATCCTAATATCAAGATCTGCTGCACCATGTAATTTTTTCTTAGACCCAAACAGAAGCGATTTGGTTTTGTTAATATTTAACGAGAGTTTGTTCTCATTCAGCCATTTAGAAACATTTTGAAAGTTCATTTTGAAAAGTAATTTGAATGTCATTAATTGATTCAGATAGATAAAAAATAGCAGTGTCGTCAGCATACATGAAGACAGAACACTCAGGTCATTAATAAAAATAATAAAAACAAGAGGTCCTAAAGTTGATCCCTGAGGGACCCCACACCGAATGTAAGCTGGGGAAGAATTTTCTCCATTAATAGATGTGATTTGCTTTCGGTCAGTCAGATAAGAGTTCAACCATTTAAGTTCCACGTTATCGAGTTCCTGTTGTTTCAGCTTTTTAAGAAGTGTGGGATGATGGACGGTGTCAAATGCTTTTTTTAAGATCTAAAAAAATGGCACCGGTCATCATCCCATTATCAGTATTATTTAAAATATAATCAGTGACCTGAAGAAGTGTAGTAGTAGTGCTGTGCAGTGGACGGAAACCAGATTGATGTGGGGAAATGGAATTATTTCTAAGAAGGTAAGAATATAGATGATCATGAATAATTCGTTCGAAGATTTTCATTAGGTAGGTAGAATGGAAATAGGTCTATAATTGTTACAGTTATTTCTAGTCCCCCCCCCCACCTTTGTGAATTGGAATAACTTTACCCAGCTTCCATTCAGCAGGGACCTCTCCCAGGGAAAGAGAGAGAGATTGAAAATAAAGGTAACATGTTGAGAAATACAAGGTGACAATAAAATACACATTAAACAAACACTTGGATTAAGTTAATATAGCAAATATAAAAATACAAATAATAAAAGTAAATAACATAGTGTAGAAGTATATTGTTTGCATGATATAACTTTTAACATTTAACCATTGTATACATCATAATTAAATACATTTACAATTATATATAAGCATATATATATAAGCACATATATATATATATATATTCCTTCAATATCATATATATATATACATTATAGAGAACTGGAGGTCGCTGGAACAGAATGTTGCTACTCGGAGTTTCACGCTATTGCGATCGTCAGGCAACTGATGAAAGGTGAACGTTGTGTGGTGATGTGACTTGCTTGTGCGGACGTAGTATGAAGT